GGGTTGTTCGGGGTGTATAATTATTATTTGAGATGAAAGGGTTGTACATGTGGAAGAATGCTTTGAAGGTGAATTCACAATTTCAGTTCTAATTATTCATAAGGATGGGTGGTTAACTAGGGTGTATGGTTCAAATAAACCTAAGATTAGGAAGCGTTTGTTGGTTAGAGATGGCAGAAATGATTGGTGTATGTAGTCTTCGTTAGTGTATAGGTGGTAATTTTGATAAATTAAATAGGTTGACATTGACTTTGAGGTGTTCTGTCGGAGGTTGACCTTTGAAGTATTTAGGTTTACCTTTAGGTGGTAATCCGTTGTATGTGTCTTTTTGGGACCTAGTCATTTAGAAGATTGGGAAAATGTTGGATGGAAGGAAGATGATTTTCATTTCTAAAGTGGGAAAATTAATTTTAGTTAAGTCTTTATTGGATAGGATTCCCATTTAATTTTTGCCCCTCTGAAGATGCCTGGGGTGGCAGCTAAAAGGTTTGAATGGATGATAAGGGGTTTTTTGTAGGAAGGGAAAAGAGTAAAAAGGATTTGGTGAGTTGCGAGATAGTATATTGGTTAAAAGCAAAAGGTGGACTTTAGGTGGCTTCAAGGATCAAAATATCGTATCGAAACGTTCAAAACATTTCAGAATTTCAACACTCCGACACGAAACAGTGGTTAAATCACAAAATTTCAGTGTTTCGTTCAAGACGGAACTGTCGCGGACTGTTTCGACGAAATAGTGGATAGATTCGGTTCACCGTTTACTCCAGGCCAAAAGAAAAAAGAGAGAAAAGAGAGAGGCTCAGAAAGTAGATTCTACAAGTCAGAATTCACAGTTCCAAGCCAAAAAAAGGGGGGAAAAAGCAGAGATCTCAGAAGATATCACATGTCCAGGTCCAATCTAGGTCTTTCAAGTAAAAAAAAAAATAGAGAATAGAGAGAAAGACACTAGACGAAATCAAAGACACAGAGAACTATAGACCAGAAATTGAAGGAGAAGTTACTGTAACTTACCTCCTTGACTCCAGATTTGAACAGATCCAACCATTATCCACGCAGATCTAGGGCTTGGGAGTTGTCCTGTCTTCATCGCTGCGACCGCGAGCTACCACTGGTCCACTGGTATGTTCTTCTCTTCTTTTTCTTCTCTCTCTCTCTCCGGCACCGGCATCGCCCATCACGATCGCCTATGCCTACCCCTCTCGCCTCTCAGTCTTCTCTCTGTTCGTTTGTGGTTGAACTGTGCGTCTTCTACCTTTTATATATATTTTTTTTGTTATAAGTATGAATAATTACATTTAATATCTTACTGTAATTATATTTAATACCCCACTATAATTATATTTAATACCCACTGTAATTATATTTAATACTCTATTATAATTACATTTAATACTCCACTGCTGTGCAGGTCTTCTGCCTTTATTTATTTATAAGTATGAACAATTACATTTAATACACTACTGTAATTATATTTAATACCCCATTGTAATTATATTTAATATCCATTGTAATTATATTTAATACCCACTGCAATTACATTTAATTTTTAAGTATACATAAGTACCATTAATTTAATTTGATACCCTTCATTATTAGTATTATAATAAAATAGTATTATTAATTGGATAATATTTTAATTTATTTGATGAAAATTAAGTATACATGTGTTTATTTGATGAAAATTAAGTGTTTGAAACCATAGTTATCAAATCGTGTATCGGAAGGCGTATCGTAAGATACAAATATTGTATCGTATCGTGTATCGTAAGATACGATGCAATTTTAAATAAATAATAAAAAAATATATATACCTTTGAAAAAAAGTCATACACTCATAAAAAATATAGCATTTCATTAATACTCCACCAACTATTCAAGTTATCAACATAATCCACTACTATTATAATGCAAAGTTCACAACCATAGTTCACTAATTCAAACTTTAAACACCAAAGAGACTTCTAATCCAAATTTCTAACATCCATTTTGAACTCAATCTTCAATTTCAATTGAAAATGCATCATCATCATCATCATTGTGATCGGATGCCAACAAGTCTTCACTTGTCGTTTTTTTAAAAAAAAAATCAGAGCACAAAACGACGTCGTTTTTTAAAAAAAAAAAAAAAAAAAAAAAAAAAAAAAATTGCACGTATCGTGCGTATCGTACCGATACGTATCGTATCGTAAAAACGTATCGTGTATCGGACGATACAACGCAAAAACGATACATAACTACGATCCGTATCGTTTTAGGGCTGTATCGTAACGTATCGTACGATACGTATCGCGTATCGTACGATACTAACAACTTTGTTTGAAACTAATTTACGTGATTTTCGCTTTATGTCAAGCCTTTTTTGTCCTCTAATTTAAATTTATTCTTGTATAAATAAAAATGAATCTAATAAATATGTTGAATTAATTAATTATTTAGCTTATCCATATAAATAAATGAATTGTATTTGTGTTTTCACGTGTTTTCATATTTTTTTTGCGTTTTCATTGCGTTTCCAAAACGTTTTCATTTTTGAACTGACCGAAACGGTACTTCTAAACGAAATTTCGATCCTTGGGTGGCTTCCTTGTTTTTCTTAAAAGGTCAAGCTCATTGTGGGTTACTAGTTGAGAGTTCGGTTATGGAAGGATAGATGGGTTGGGGACTTGTCTCTTTCAAGTTTATTTCCTTGTTTAATTTTGCACTAAGTACCTTGGTTATAGTGTTGCATCCTTGGTTAAGTCTTTTTTCAGCTTAATTTCTTTGAATTTTGGTTTTCGTAGAAATCTTAATAATTGTGATACTTTGGAGTTGGTGTTGCTTCTTTCTATACTTGATTCAGTTTGATGTAGATCATATTAGCTCTGATACTAAATTGATGTAGAATAGGAAGGGAAGAATTAGGGATGAGAAGAGCAGAAGAAAGAGATGAAAAAGGAGAAAGAATTTGAGAATGAAGCAATATTAGTATTCAATAATAATTAAAGTCTAATCTAAATAAAACCCTTACATGCATCCCTTTATATAGGAAAGCTAAAACCCTAAAACAAATAAGTAATGACAAATAAACTCTTAAAAGTTAAAAGAAATTGCTTAAAAGATAAATATTAAAAGTATCCAAATTACTCTCATGATTAATTTAAAATATCTATCAAATTCCTACACGATCCCCTTTATTCTTCCTCGGTTGAGAAAAATTCTCCTCTGGAGAGTCTTCATAGTAGAAGTACCCTAAGAGAGCAAGATGAAGATGACATAATGCCTCATCTAGAATGCAAGAACCATCAACTTCTTTCCATCGATCAGGATAAATGCAAGAATCTCCATCTATATGAACATCTGCTAATAAAATTGATATCAACTTGATGTAGACCGTATTAGCTCTGATACCAAATTAATGTAGATTGTATTAGCTCTGATACTAAATTGATATAGATCGTATTAGCTCTGATACCAAATTGATGTAGATTGTATCAGCTCTGATACCAAATTGAGGTAGAATAAGAATGGAAGAATTAGGGATGAGAAGAAAAGAAAAAAGATATGAGAAAAGAGAAAGAATTTGAGAATGAAGCAATATCAGTATTCACTAATAATCAAAGTCTAATTTAAATAAAACCCTTACATGCATCCCTTTATATAGGGAAACTAAAACCCTAAAACAAATAAATAATGACAAATAAACTCTTAAAAGTTAAAAAAAATTATTTAAAAGATAAATATTAAAAGTATCCAAATTACTCTCATGATTAATTTAAAATATTTATCCAATTCATTCACGATCCCGATCACGGTTACATTGAAATTTGATTTTTGGAGAAAAGATGAAAGTTTGTAGATCCTTCTGGTTCCTTTTCATGTAAGTATTTCTTCGAATCTTTGACTGATAATCCTTCTCATCCTCTCATTTACCCATCATTGATGATTTGGAAGGTTATAGATGCCTTTGAAAATGCATGTTTGTGCATGGGTGATTACTTATGGAAAAATTTATACTCATGATATACTTCAAAGGAGGAGACCTTGTACTAATCTTTGCTCTCAATGGTGCGTTATGTGTAATGGGAGTTATAAATCGTGGAACATTTATTTTTACATTGTCCTACGAGTATCTGTGAAATAAACTTATTTGAGTTGGTAGGGGTTTGTTGGGTGAGTTGGGAGGGATTTGTTGTGGCACAACAGACTAAGTCATCTATGTTGTGTTTGGATTTTAAAGGGTTGGGTTGCGTGGAGGTGGGAGGGGTGGTACTCTTTGGCGATATGCTTTCTTAGCCATTATGTGGGTTATTTGGTTAGAAAGAAATTCAAGGATTTTTTACGAGAAGAAGAAATTGGTTGGTTGTTGGACCGGATTTAGGATTGGATTTATTTCTTGGCTTCCTTTTGGGCTTTGGTGATGAAGAATTTTTGGAAATTTCTTTTTTTTGTGTTACCACAAGTTGGACAGGGTCTTGGGGCTGTCCATGCCTATCAGGATGGCTCTGTGATGTGTAATGTTTTATTTTTTATTTTTTCTGGTCTTTTGCATGTTTTTGGGATGCACGTCTTATCCATCTTTACTTGGATAATGTAAGACTTTATTTTATCTCTTACCAAAATTTTATATAGTACGTAAGACATGTCATATAATAAGCATATTGAAGAATGCTGATGAGTAATCATGCATATTTCTTCCCTCCCTTGAAATGTGGAAAATTTTTAATTTTTCATCTTTGAAGATAGGACCTTTAGCTATCTTGCATTTCTTGTGATGCAAAAAGTTTGTAATTGAATGGAAGCATAAGGCCCTCTCACCTTCTTTATTGAATTAGCAAGTCTTATTGTCAACCATAAAGCTGTGTAGATATAGATACAAACACATACTACATTGATATGTGATATTTGTACAACTTGTAAGAGTATTAAGAGTACCTTCCAACTTTTTCAACCTGTCTGTGTTAACTCTTTGTCACCTTTTAACTTCAGTTATTGTTATTACGTGATCGCACTTCATTTGAATATAGGTTTGGGCTGTCCTGAAACCTGGCTTCTTGGCCTTACTGGAAGATCCTTTTGATGTCAAACTTTTAGATATAATTGTTTTTGATCTGCTACCAGCTTCAAATGGAGATGGGAAAAGCCTAGTATCATTGGCAGATGAGATAAAGGAACGTAATCCTTTGCGTTATGCATTTAAGGTTAGTTTTTTGTTATCATTTTGTATTGTTGAAACTCAAGTATATTAATTATTTTTGGATGTAGAATCACTATTAGGCATGTTTTTTTACTATCTTATGTTTTATTTACGCTTTCCGGGGGCGGTGGAGGAGAGGAATATTATTAGTACAATCTTAGAAGCACGAACACTTCATTTTGGCCAGTGTCAGTGTCGGATAAGTCTTGGACATGGACACGCTTCGGATATGCTAAAATGAGTCAAAGTCATAATGTAAATGAAGTTATTATCATTACATTGAACATATGACATGAATGTAACATAGTTTTAGATACGAATACAAATTTATATATAAATGGAATAACCTTTTAATATGAAAGTAATGTGAGAAAAAATAGGATTACAAAATTGGGGATCTTTGAAATTGATGAAAATTAGTGTTACGAAGTAGAATATTTTTGAAAATGAAAGTTGTAGTAGTCTTTGATTGTTGGATCATGGTTGTTAATGTTGAATACTTGAATGTATATCGGTATATCTTATATTGTATTTTTTATACAGTAATATCATGATGCGAATTTTTAGAATTAGGAAAAAGCTGAATAAAAAGAATATTATGATAATATTTTTCTTTTATCACATGATTATATATTTATATATATAAATACATATTATTTAACGGATTGCCAACATGTCCGTGGTCTACTTTTTTGAAAAATTTCTTGTGTCCGTGTTGTGTCGTGTCCGTGCTTCTTGTAGTACAATATCTTGAAACATTTGTTTGGTTTTGGAAGAGCCCATTCTTATGGGTTTGGGAAGCTTTCTACAGCAATTAAAACTTTTGTGGCGAGAGAGAGAGAGAGAGAGAGAGAGAGAGAGAGTGAAACTGAGTGAACTTTTCCAGAAGAAAATAAACATTTTTATATGATGGAGTGAAATGTCTTGAGTGCACTTTAGCTAATTTTCTCGAGGTTATTATTCACAATGTCTGGAAAATTTATGAAACTACTTGCATTATAAACACCTTCCATTTAATTTTTTGTATTTGACATATGGAATCACGAAAGGTTTCTTGTGGAAACCGGAGCATAAAGTTGAGAACTACAAGTTACGCCAAAGTCAGAGACTGGGTTTCTGCTATCAATGATGCCGGTTTATGGCCTCCAGAAGGGTGGTGTAATCCTCATCGCTTTGGTTCTTTTGCTCCTCCCAGGGGTTTGATTGAAGATGGTAGTCAAGCTCAGTGGTTCATAGACGGAAAAGCAGCATTTGAAGCAATTGCATCATCAATAGAGAGCGCAAAATCTGAGGTTGAAATTCTAGAGCTGCCATGTCACATGCTGAAATTAGTTTATATTACCAAACATATTACCATCAGAACACTCAGCTAACCAGATGTTGCTATGTAGATTTACATTACTGGATGGTGGCTTTGCCCAGAAGTGTATTTGAGACGTCCGTTTCACAGTCATGGCTCCACTCGACTTGATGCTTTACTTGAAACTAAGGCTAAAGAAGGGGTCAAGGTGCGTATGCAAGAGATACTTTGTTGTAGTCAATACTGTATTTGTTTCATCACCATCAAATCTATCTTTGTGAGAGATGCTTTTTAACTCATGTCTGAGAATCCATTTCTTTCAAAGCTACTAAACAATGGTCCAGTAACTTATCGGCTTTTGTTGAAATATTCTGTCAAGAAAACTAAGTTTGTGGGGATTAGTTTTATATGTTTTACCATTATGCCCAACTCAAATCTTTACATATGATAAATTATATCTGTGAAAGGTCTTACTCTCAGTTGTCATGTGCACATATTGGTATTTGGATTTTGGAATGATTGGCAGTTTGCTTCCATGTATTAAGAGTCAATGCTTCTGGAAGAATCTTATTCTTGATTGTTAAATGCACATGTTTGGATTTGGAGTTTGGACATAGGGTGCATCTGCGTCAAGTGCTAATACTGCTTAACATTTGCTAGATTTTTGGCACTGGATGACTATGTTATAAACCGGTCTCTTTTTTCATGTGAGTTGCAATTGCATGCAACTCTTGCATGCTCACCTTCAATTATTAATTGACATCTGCATCCTTTTCTTTGGGGATAACAAACACCTGCATCCTGAAACGTTTTGTATTTGATATATAACTAAGCCATGCTTCGAATATCATTCAGTTTATTTCTCGTTCAAAGTAGACCAAAGTAGACCTTTAGAACAAGGTGAACACACTGATAAATTTTTTCTTTCACATTCTGGTTACCATTTCTCCCTCCTGTGGATTTGACAAAGCGTCGGTTCTTATTTTTAACTTCACCTATTATGCAGATTTACATCCTTTTATACAAGGAGGTTTCTATTGCTTTAAAAATCAACAGTTTATACAGTAAGAAAAAGCTTCTTAACATTCATGAGAATGTAAGAGTGTTGCGTTACCCAGACCATTTCTCAACCGGCGTTTACTTGTGGTATGCAGTTCATGAACTCAGGACAATCAGCTTTTTAATCATTGGATTGAAACAGAGTTTTATTTTATTTATACTTAAACTCTGTTTTTGTGCAAGAACTGCTTGAACATTTTTGGCTTCATACAGGTCACATCATGAAAAACTTGTCATTGTTGATCATCATATTTGCTTTATGGGGGGACTAGACTTATGTTTTGGACGCTATGACACAATTGAACACAAAGTGGGTGATTGCCCTCCTTTTTTATGGCCTGGAAAGGACTATTACAACCCAAGGTGAGTTCTGTTTTTTCCTTTCCTTTTTCTTTTTCCTCCTTTCACCAGAAACATGATTGGGTTCTGTAAGTAATTCGGAATTGATAATATGACTATGGAAGAAGTTGAAAAATAGGGTCCTACCAAGACTTTTTGCAGTACAAAAAATATTGATTATACGGTTATACCTTTTTTGTCCTCGGTAGCAAGTATATTATTATTATTACTAATATTATGATTTCCTATGAACTTTTTAGCTAATCGTTTGACAAGTTCTTCCATATCATTGTGAGGTACTATATTGCTGATAATTGATAATAGCATTGACATGTATTCTAAAATAAATACAAAAGAAGATAACAGAAACTTATGCTGTTCATTAGCGTTACCTAACAACTTGGTCCTTATAAATTAAACTCTTGATATTTCTTCACCTTCCATTTTGTTGAATTAGAGAATCTGAACCAAATTCTTGGGAAGATGCTATGAAAGATGAACTGGAGCGTGGAAAATATCCTCGTATGCCATGGCATGATGTCCATTGTGCTCTTTGGGGACCACCCTGTCGAGATGTTGCTAGGCATTTTGTTCAGCGTTGGAACCATGCGAAGGTGGATCTAATGTTTGCTTCTATTACTGTACTATACTCTTGTCAAATTTCAGTTTCTAATATCATTGAGCATTGATTCAGAGAAGTAAAGCTCCAAATGAACAAACAATACCACTCCTTATGCCACAACACCACATGGTTATCCCACACTACATGGGAAGAAGCAGAAAGATGGACATTGAAAGTAACACCACTGAAGTAAAGCAGAAAGACATCAGTAGACAGGATTCGTTTTCCTCCAGATCACCGTTAGAAGATATCCCATTGCTTTTGCCCCAGGAAGCTGGTGGACTAGATGCTTCCAACATCAATAGCAACTTAAATGGCTTGGACCAGAGCCACTATCATCTAGATCAGCCAAGCAGGTCTGGTCCAGGCCCTTCATTCTTTTTAGAGGAAGCCAAAGTTGAACCTTTAATACCAGATATGCAGATAAAAGGCTTTGTGGATGATTTTGATTCTTTGGATCTTCAACACACAATGATTATAGATGCAGTAGCAGAGTCTGGCTTGCAAATTTCTGATGAGTGGTGGGAAACACAAGAGAAAGGTTGTCAAGTTGTTTCACCTGATGAAACTTCACAAATTGGTTCCCGTACTTCTTGCCGTTGTCAGGTTAGCTTTACCTCTGAAGATCTAGTTAAAATTCTACATGTACTTTTTTAAATATTTGACATAGTTTATGGATTGTAGTTACAAGTATAATTAGTTCCTGTAGCTTTATAAAGTAAAACTTTTGACACTGTCAAAATGTTTTCTTACAATGAAATGTATAACTACTCCTCAAATTAGGTGTTGGGACTTTTGGATTTAAATTGCATCAAATGGTCAAAAGCTTCAATTTGTTCGATAACCACCAACCAACAACATTGATGGACTTTCCCCTAATAGCATTTCAAACGATCAAAAATCAAAATTTTGTTTTGGCATATTGTTTTGGCCTCGTAAGAAATAATCATTTCGAAAACCTTTTGAAAATAGATTTAAAATGGAGAAAAAATTTTAAAAATTTCTTTCCGAGACATCCTTAAACATTGGTTGAAAAATACCGAAATCCTGAAATCCCACGAAACTAAGAATTTGGATATTCAATGACTTATTGGTTTCAGTTTTCATGGAAACAGAAATTCTACTGTTTTGAAATGAAATTTTGATCCTGACAAAGGACTAAATTATCATATACCAGTAGTTGGTTCTCTCTTGTGATCCTGTTAACAATCTACCATGATACCTCTTTATATAATGATAAATGTTATTGTTGAATTTCTCTGCTTCCATGTATGTTTAAATTTTGATTCCATTAAATTTATGTTTGATGTGTAGGTTATCAGAAGTGTCAGCCAGTGGTCTGCTGGAACAGGTCAAACTGAAGACAGCATTCATAAAGCTTATTGTTCTCTCATCGATAAAGCAGAACACTTCGTCTACATCGAGGTGACATAACTACAACAATGAACTTTCAGTTATTTATTAATAGATCTATAACACCTTCAAAAAAGGAAAAAAGAACTATAATGCAAAGGAATTTTTTCCTGATATTGTCTTTTAGGAAGGCCAATGCTGAATGTATGATCCAATAAGTGGCCTAAGCTTGAAAACCTTTTCCATGCCCAGGAACAGTCCTATGGGATTCTGACATCCTATGGGCTTCTACCAAAGAAAGTAAATTTCGTTTCAAAATGTCCGAAACGTGCAAAGCGTTTTGTTTCCATGCAGCGCTGACCCAAGTGTAAGGCTACTTAGGCGATGGCTTAGGGCCTCATTTGAGAAGGAGGCCCCATTTTTTTATGATAATTATAAATAAAATGGTATTCTTTTTGGTCTTAGTCTTCTCCGAAGTCTCCTCTTCTCAAACAGATGCAATGAAACTATTTGTGTACTTTTGCAGTCACACCATCATCAAGGGAGGAATATTGTTGGGATTTAAAAATTTGATCAATTTCTTTACCTAATGATATATCAAATGATAAGTCTCAATTAGGTTCAAGGGTTTCAACTATAATTATATTATTGGACCATATCAAGTGTATATCATTAGGTCAAAAAATTATTTTAGTGTTTTAAGTCCCAATAAAACTACTCTTAAATATTTTATTCTCCTTTTACGCTTGATTTACCACTATAAATAACTCAACACTTATCGGGAATTATTTCTCTACATTTGTCATGTGCATTCCAATTCGTAATTAATTTAATTAATCATGTCTCCATTATTCTTTTAAGATCCGTATATTCAAAGGATATAAATTGAAAATATTTTTTCTAACTTATACTTGCATATAACTGTTTCTTCAAATCCAAGAAAAAAAACTCAACAACATCTTCCTACTAGTCTCTCCCTCACTATTTCTCATTCTTTGACACTTAAAAGAATTTTTTTTTTCCCTCACAAGTATGAAAGGATTATCAAAATCTGGAAGATTTTGTAAAATGTGATCAATTTTCTGACATTGACAACTTAGATTTATTTCCGGAACTAAAAGGCCAACAATAGTTTTTACATCTAAAATTAAAACCAATGAAGTCATACTTGCAATCAATTTTACATCTCAAAAAGATAGAAGAATAAGTTTTAAATAAAATTCCAATTTTACTGTTTATATGGTAATATTAAAATTTAAAAGGCCCCATTTACAACTTTCGCCTAGGGCCCCGATGGAAACTGGCACGAATCGGTGATTCAATATTGAAATTCCTATATTTTGACGTGTTTCAGTAATTTGGTACATTACAATGTGTTTTGATGCATTTTGATCAGTATTTCAGAAACAAACTTCCAAATTTTTTTCTTTGTTTATGTCATTTTTTCAAAATGTTTCTGAAAATATCTTTGTTTCCAAGCTGACCGAAACTATGCTCCGAAACAAAATTTCGGTCCTTGGTTCTACCTCTCATATAGCTTACAGTTTTAATTAAACAGTTAGCATAGTTTGAGACTGGGTCACTAGGGTTGATGAAGTGATGCAGCTTACTTTGAAAGGTGAATAAGGACCACATGTTTATTAAGACTTCAAAAATGTACTTAAAACACTTTAAGATGTCCAATAGACAATTTTTGTAGTATGAAAATAGACTTCCTAACAGCCTTGTTGTATTCTCTTTTTTGCTAATGTTTTTCACAATTTTTGTAGCATGAAAATACACTTCCTAACAGTGTTGTTGTATTCTCTTTTTTGCTAATGTTTTTCATTTCTCAAAACTGGTTTCGTCTCTCATTGCTAACGATTTCATAACTTATTGACTGCTTACTTCCAGAATCAATTTTTTATATCGGGACTTTCGGGAGATGATATCATACAGAATCGTGTCCTGGAAGCTATATATAGGCGTATCATTCGTGCACACAAAGAACAGAAGTGCTTCAGGGTTATTATTGTCATACCGCTCCTACCCGGCTTTCAGGTATGCTTATTGTCTCAACTGAATAGGTTTTCTATCTGGAATTTCTTTTTTCGTCCATGTTGAAGTTTGAATTACAGGGGGGTCTAGATGATGGTGGAGCGGCAACTGTGAGAGCCATAATGCATTGGCAGTATCGAACCATTTGCAGAGGAAACAACTCAATACTGTACAGTCTTAATGCATTGCTCGGTCCTAAAACATATGATTACATATCTTTCTATGGTCTCAGGACGTATGGTCGACTTTTTGACGGCGGTCCCGTGGTCACAAGTCAGGTAATGTCACACATGATGTCTTGGTCAACCATATGTAGATGAGGCCTGAGATCCCCGCCTCTTTCTGGGGGGTACAAAACTGGCTTCGTTTTTATCTTTTTACGTGAAATATAGTTTTGACTATTTTCTAATAGTTTTACTTCATATCCATACACTACAGCTAGCTCATAGCCAATGCTATGCATTCTTTTTCATATCTAGTCAATCTTGGAAGTTATTCTGAAACAAACATCATTATTTATAATCCTGCAGCATTCTGTAACTAGGATAGGCTGATGTAACTGGACCAAGTGGCATACTTCGATTAGTTTCCTGCTTCTTGTTTTGTTCATTTTATTGCAAGGGAGGAAACTAATCACTAGACTGATGCACAGACCCTTAGCACACTTGCTTCCCCTGGGGAAACTCTGTACACCTACTAGGAGTTTGTTGTTATTGAAGAGTACTCTGCTTTTTAATCTCTTCAAGCATTATTATTCCCTGCAGGTGTATGTCCACAGCAAAGTGATGATAATCGATGACCGCATTTCCTTGGTTGGGTCATCCAATGTAAACGATAGGAGTTTGCTTGGATCAAGAGACACTGAGGTGAAAATCTTTATCTTGCCTCCAGGGCAAACTTCTAATTCCATTCAAAACGAGAATGTGCTCACTTGAAATGTTAGCCAACATTAAAGCACTCTTGTTATAGTTATGTTGTTGGCTCAGTTACCTTGCTTCCAACTGTCACAGACTACAGATAAAAGATTAGAGATGCAATTTTAAACGGTAGTGACTTTCCGGAATTTTAAATGGTAGTGGAGACAAGTGTTATGCTTGTGGACATTTTAGTGGAAGAAATTGGCTACTCTGTCTGAACCCAAAAATAGGTGATTCTAGTAGTGTGATTATCAAATGATCCCCAGCAAATAATCACTAGTGCTCTTGGAGTCAAACCATGTGTAATTTGTGGGGATTATAGATGTATGGTACTCACAGAGTTCTTGGAGGATAATCTACTAGGACACCTGTAGTTTGCAAGATTCAAAATCAGGATGCTAATTCCCACCCTGGATCCCTGCCCGCTGAACATACTAAAGTAGTTCATCCAAACTACCTTTGTGATGTGGACTGCTTGATGTTATTTCTTCTTTTTGTCTTTTTTTCTTTGTTCCCCTTTTCGTATTCCATCAGGTTTTAAGACCATCTATATCTCTTCTTTGGTTTGTTTTCCTTCCATTTATGGAAACAGTTTCTGACACTTTTTTTTGACTGCCTCAGATTGGGGTACTCATTGAAGATAACGAATTTGTTGAATCCTCAATGAATGGACAGCCATGGAAGGCTGGAAAATTTTCTTTTACTCTTCGCCTGTCCCTGTGGTCAGAGCACCTTGGTTTACCTGCCAGAGAGGTTAGTGATTTCACCAATTTCGATGCTAGTGCACTTCATTTACTTCAAAAAGGTATCAGCCAAACATATGCTACTGAATGGAATTGTGGGAGGTTCCCCCTCCTTTCACTCCACTCCCCAGTCCCCTTACTTTGATCCCATCTCTTCATTACTAAACTAGCATCAGAGCATTTGATATTCATTATTTGCTACCATTTTTTCAGATTAATCAAATCAAAGACCCTATAGCCGACGCTACATACAAAGATTTGTGGTTGGCGACTTCAACGGTGAGAATGATATTGTCTTCAGGAAACATTACATTCAGTTGGTGTCCCGTTAGTGGTTTTAAGAAACTAGAAATTTTTGCTAAAAAGAAACTACATCATCTTTGAAAACAGGAAAGTATGTGGAAAAAAAATGAGAAAGTGGAGTTTAAACATACAAGGTTTTAATTGAATTCGGTTCATAGCCTATTAGTTTTCCTTCCCTGTGCTGGTTTATATCTGTCATCCTCTAGAAACTGTAACAACTATTTGTGCACTAATTATTATTTTAACTTTCACAGAATTCATCTACTAGACGAGAGTCATAGACCAAGTCATAATGTGATCCTTACCATCTGAATTAGTAAATGAGATATTACTGTGATGCCAAAATGCATGGAATGAAGGACACTTGATTTTTGCTTCACTCTTTTAATGCTTTTCCTTCATTGATCTGTAGAGTTTCAACATAAATAAAAAGGTTTAAAAACTCTAAAATGATCAACAATACTTGCCTATTGACAGACAAATAGCTTGATCTACCAAGATGTGTTCTCTTGCATCCCAACTGACCTTATACACTCCAGGTAGAGTTGTGTCTAAATCACACCCTCTTCTTCTTGCTGCTTCTTCCTTTCCTACATGCTCCCTACACATTTTTGTGACATCTTGATGATGCAGGTCAGCACTTAGACAAAGTGCGAGCTATTGGAAAGAGAAACTTGGGCACACTACAATTGATTTAGGAGTAGCTCCTGAGAAACTTGAACTCTTTGGGAATGGAAAAATCACATCAACATATCCAATGGAGATGCTAAATCGGTGAGAGGATATCTTGTTTCTTTTCCGTTAGAGTTCATGTGTCAAGAAGATTTGAGACCAATGTTTAGTGAGGGAGAGTTTTATACATCTCCTCATGTGTTTCATTAGTAGTATTCTGTATGGCTATTCAAATTGATGGGACTTACAATAGAACATTGTACACCCAAGACTAAGTATAGATAACATGCTACCTACACAAGATTCAGGATAGGTTAACTAGCCAAAGGTTACATTGGCGTTAAATGTATTCTTTGTACAGGAATGCTTCTCATAGTAAAATGGGTAAAAAAAATCTAAATTGAAGCTGCATTTTATAATTCTATGGTGATCTCGAGATTGGTATCATATTTCTTTTTTTTTTTTTTTGGGGGGAAGGGGGGAAGACAAGAAGGCAACACTTTCACAAGGTAATAAGTACCATTGGACTAATGATTGATATCACATTTCAATTCGGCCTCTATTTGGAATTTCATGAAGGGCTCCATTCTCTCTCTCTCTCATTTGTTTGAGTACATAGATCTACTAAGAGGAATTAGACTTCGTTTATCCCATAAAGAGTATAGCATGAGAGAGAGATTTGTTTGAGTACATAGGTCTCCTAAGAGGAATTGGACTTCGTTTATCCTGTAAAGAGTATAGCATGAGAGAGACAGAGAGAGAGAATAGAACATTACCCTTTTCATTGACTTAATAGATATATATCTACACATGTGAATAAAGCAACAACTCAGTTAGCCTTCACTCACTAACAATTTTTCTTCAAGTTGGACTAATATTAAATAGTCTTAGCTTGGAATCAATATTATCAATTTTATCTTTATTGAGTAACTTTTTTTTCCTTAATTAAAATCCCGATAATAAAAGGCGATATCTTATTTATTATGAAAAGAATTACATCCTTAAAGCGGACATGGACATAAACTTTACGCTGAAAGCACTAAAGTTACACTTTTTTAAAAAATTAATAAGCCACAAATAATGCATGTAACTTCAATATAAAATAAGAAAATTAACTTTCTAAATTGTAGAGGCAGAATCCTTATGAGTCTTTGCTCACCGGCTTAAGAAGATTCATAGCAGCTTGGATCTCTAGCAGCTACCCCTTTGCTCCTCTGCCTTTTCGTGGATTTCCAAACTGGAGAGTCTTGGAAATAAGCCACCTTCCGTAGGTTGGAATTTCCGAAAATACAATAGTCTTCCAAGACCCTCCTGTAACTCCCTTATTAGCCAAAAAATCTGCCATCATATTTTTTTCCATAAACACGACCCATAACAAAGTTAATGCCTTGAAGAACTTCTCTAATTTTCAGCCACCTATACCGTAACTTCCAATTAAGAGATATCCCTTGATTGACCATATCAACTAGGACTTTAGAATCGAATTCAATAATAAAATCATAATCTTGAATACCCAGCTACAGAATTATCTCCAAAGCATCCAGTACAGCCAAACACCTGCTTCAAACTTAGAACAACACCCATAAAAATTAGAGGTCACCACTAGAACTTGACCTTCATGATTCCTCATTATCACTCCACCACCCGAAGGACCTAGATTCCCCATGTGTTGTGAATCACAGTTGGAGAAGGGACTAGAATATTCAGATTCCCCAACACTAGCTGCTCCTGTCCCCCCTAACAGCCGATCTTCTAGCCTGAACTTGCATCTGTAATGAAGTAAATTTTTGAAAGAATAGTACCTGGAAACAGCCTCTTACCCTCAAACATCCATCTGCACCTCTCTTTTCATACTTCACAATAAAAGAATAAAGAAAATTTTTTCATTAAAGTACGGGCGAGCACCTTCCTTCTGTGAGCACGAACTATTTGTATAAATCTTACCAAAGGGCCTTCTTTGTGCACCAAGGAAAAACCCATAGCTGCAGAAGCTTTCCTCCATATCCATTAAGCATATTTACACTCCACAAATAAATTTTGAATAGTTTCTTCAGCTTGTTTACACAAAACACACTGATTGGAGACAACCACATCAATCCCTTTCAATTTGTCATCACTTGGAATGGCCTGTCTTAGAATCTTCCACCCATGAAGTTTTGCTGTAGGCGAAGCCTCCAGTTTCCATATAATTGCTGCCACTTCATCAATATCACTCCTCATCCTAATTGCATCCCAAGCCGAACGGAGAGAGAAAATACTTGAGCTTGTTAAAGTCCAAATAAGAACTCCTCTCTACCTGAAAAATCAACCTTCATATCCAATAACTCATCCACCAATTGATCCGTCAGCCCATCCCTCACTGCATCAAGCTGTCATGTGTTACCAGTAAATAGCTCAGAAACCTTTGGAAAATAGGTTGGCCTGTCCTCCACCCTTAATATTAATGCACCACTACCCAACCAATTATCACACCAAAAATCCACTCTCATTCCATTGCCCACCAGTTTTTTTGAAAAACCTATGACCTTTTCAATCCAAGGAATCAAACATTTAAATGACCTTAATTTGGAATGTGCTGACAAATGGAGTAGATGTTCATTCCTTAAGAACTTCGCTACAAATACCTTCGCCCATAATGAATTTCCTTGCAGAATGCCCCACACTTGCTTCATTCTAAAAGCTGAAGCCACATCCATGAAGTTCCTAATACCCAAACCACCTCCTTCCTGTGGCAATTTAACATCTTTCCAAGCAACTCAATGACATTTCTTAACATCCTTCTTATTAGTCCACACAAAAGAAGTCATAATGGAGTGTAAAATCTTCACTACCCCCTTAGGCAGATTCAAGCAAGCCAACAAATGAGTGGGAATTGCATTTAACATTGCTCTAATCAACACCAATCTGCCTGCATTTGACAGAATTTTAGAGAACCAACCTTCCACCCTAGACCGAAACTTTTGAATGAGCCCCTGAAAATATGTGTTCTTTGATCTCCCTATAATAATCAATGGGCATCCCAAGTAAAGAATAGGGATAGCTTTGCAAGGAATAGAAGACATAGCCAATAACCTGCTCTTCCTAGCATGTGACATTTTAGAGGGCAAATACATGGAACTCTTTAGTTTGTTCACTTTCGGTCCAGAAGGTTCCTCATACATTGCAATTGATTTTAGGATATTCAAAACATATCTTTTGTCGCCATGAAGAAAGAGTAAGGTGCCATTGGCAAAAAGAAGGTGGGTGATTGGAATACTACCTCAGCCCAAGTGAAAGCTCTTAACCATACCTCTTCGATAAATTTCTACAATCCCTCTACTGAGCACATCTTCAACTATAATGACAGATTCCCTTGGCAAAGACCACGAGAAGTAGGAAAATAGACAATACATTCCCCATTAAAAGAAATAGAAACAAGTTGGTTTTTCATGCAGATTGAAAATAGCATAATAAACTTCCCAGAAAAACCAAAAGACTTCAAAACAGCAAACAAGAAATCCTATTCCCAATGATCATAAGCTTTCATCATATCCAACTTTAAAATTATATTACCTCCATCCACTTTTCGGTCCAAATCATTAACCAATAATTGCGCCAAAGAAATGCATTCACTAATAGATCTCTGCTTAACAATACCATGTTCTTTAGATATTATTCTTGGAAGGATAGGAGAAAACCTGTTCACCAATAGCTTGGTACAAATATTTTATACCAAGTTACACAGACTGATAGGCCGAAAATCAGAGAAAGTTTCTGGAAAAGCAACCTTAGGAATTAAACATAATAATGTTGAGTTAACGAATCTTGGAATTATACCTATGTTCAAGAAAAAATTAACAGCAATTAACAAGTCCTCTTTAATAATGTGCCATGTCACTTGGAAAAAAATCCCAGAAAAACCGTCAGGGCCTGGAGCACTAGCGGTAGACATCAAGAAAACCACCTCCCTGACCTCCCCCAAAGTAGCATTGTTGGTAAGTGAGTCATTTTCTGCCTCTGTAATGAGATTTGGAATTTCGGATAATGCCTGAGGATCCACCCAATGCTGCTCTGTAACATAAAGTTTTGTAAAAAACTCCTTTACTCCTCTAGCCATTTCCTCTCTTGATTCCATCCAATTCCCCTGCTGATTTTTTATTCTTCAAATAACATTCCTTTGGGATTTGTGTTTGGCCATAGTATGAAAAAATCTAGTATTTCGATCTTCCTCTTCAAACCATTTCAGATTAGCCCTTTGTTTCCAAAAAAATTGTTCCAATTTCAGGGCCTCGTTAAGCTCCTTTCTAGCTAAATTAATCACATCTCTCCCTTGTTCTTGATCCAACTCTACTTGTAACAACTTCCCCTCAAGCTCCTTAATTCTATGAAAGATATTTCCAAAGACCTTCTTATTCCACCTTTTTAAGCTCATCTTTAGTCTTTTTAATTTTTGAAAAAAAATCTCAAGGGGATTTCCCGAGAAACTACCACCCCAACTGAGTTCCACCAGTGGTAAGAAACCTTTATTCTCTATCCACATGTCCTGAAAATAGAAATAAGACATCCTAGCTTGGGAATCCATCTCCACCCCTTTAATAAGAGGAGGAGAGTGATCAGAAGAACTCTTGCCACATGCATCACTCTAGTCATGGAAAACCTCAACTGTCACTCAGAATTAATCATTACTCTACCAATTCTAGACCAGATTCTACTCCTCCCTTGATGATTGTTACACCATGTATACTTGCTACCAACAAAACCACAATCAAGAAGGCCTGCATAATTTATGAAAGACAAGAATTCTTTCCTAGCCTGAAAACTTGGCTTAGCTCCTCCTAATCGTTCTTCCGCTGATGTGACCACATTAAAATCGCTCACCACCACACTGAGAAGGTGTTGCCACAACACTTTACGGATAAGATATTTATAGCTAGAACATACTGGGAATGAAAATCTAGACCTTGGACTCCTATTCTTACATCCCAGAGCAGCCACATCTTCCTCTCCGCGTATATATTCGCAACATAAGAATCCATGTTTATCAAAAGCTGCATCTTGCTTGGGTCATTTAAAGGTTCCAAAACCGCCATCATGGACATACCATTATCATTTATTAAATTCTGTAAT